TAGTTCGTTAAATTACAATAAAGCCTCGTGCAGTTTGCAGCAAGCTCTCGAATCCGCCTGGTGATTGGGGTGACCGCGAACCTGGCCTGAGACCCCGGATACTTGAGTTTTCGGGGGTCTAACAGTGCTGAATACTAAATCCTCAGTACTATGAAATGAAAACTTGAAAAGAAAATCAAATGCATAGCATCCAAAGGCCCACGTTGCTCATATTTGATAAAAAGGAAAGGGCAAACAATCATATAAATTAATTATCATTAAAGGAACTCAGTAATTTGCAGGGAGTTTTGCTTCAATACTGGGGTGGCCTAACTAAGTAGCTAATGATGGTTGGTGTGTGCGATGGCTAGTTTTATGACAACTTGACCCAAGCTAGAGCTATCTGAAAGGAGGAAAACCCTTTTGAGAAAATGCCTTTATAAGATCAGGTTTTAGGCATGTAGCCCATAAGGCAATTTCTTAATTGGTGATTGTTTGGGGAGGGTGCATCCTATTGTGGGTAGTCCCATCTCTGGGCAGATGGTCCTGGATTCTATAAGAAAGCAGACTGAGCAAGCTACAAGGAGCAAGCCACAAGCAGCACCCCTACATGGACTCTACATCAGTTTCTGCCTCCAGGTTCCTGTCATGCTAGAGTTCCTGTCCTGATTTCCTTCTGTGGCGAGTGGTACTGTGGAAGTGTAAAGCAACTTGCTTTTGAGTCCTGGTGTTTCATCACAGCAATAGAAACACTAAGACAGTGTGAAGTTATGTGTACAGATGGAGGTGACATGCTGGGTATCAGACATTAAATGAACTATATTCTTCTGCTGGTCTGAAGTTATTCAGCTCAGTGCTTTGGTTTTCCTGCCATATTTGGTGATATCTGAAGATAACTGTCTTTCACAGATGATTTCCCTGAACTGACTACAGATTCCCTACAAGACATGAGAATACTAGGGTGGCATGGTGACCTTCATGATCTCTGAGGTGATGAAAGTTAACCCAAAAGGGGCCACATAGACTAAACACAACTAAAAGCTATTTTGCAGAAGAAATTCAGAGAAATAGTTCCTTACATTGATGGAAGAAAATATTTCTTAAAAAGAACACAAAAATATGGGCTATTAAAGAAAAGAGAAGGGAAACTGAATTTTAAAAACATTTTTACATTATTTTAGAAAAAGAAAATAGCCCAATGATACTCCAACCAAAACCCAGGATGCTTTCCTCCAGCCCTCCTCAGCTTCCTATGTTTAAATTCAATGGTGTCTTATGTACTTGATTTTCTCTTCTGGGTTCTGGAAACAGTCCTCTTCCCTCTGTTCCCCAGTACCACAGGCAGCACAGGGTTCATGGCTGGTATGCTGGGAATCTCCAGCACCTATGGCAGTCTGTCTGTCCAAGTGCCCCTTAAACCATCCTACTATGAATATGTCTAAGAAGATCTTAACTGATACATTTCATGACAATTGGTTGTAATGAAAACACATGTTTTCTAGTAATGATTCATTCTAGGATTAACGCAAGAAATGTATGAGATGAACTTGCAGTATCTTGTAGTATCTGGAATGAAGAAAACACTAAAAATAAAACAGAAAACAATAATGGAGAGTGTCCAAGTTATATAGACATCATAAAACACTCTCCAAAGCCAAGTATTGCTGAGTTAATAACACAGACATAAAATAAGTATCTATGAGTTGATGCATAGGAAAGAATGAGGAGGAGGTGGGAAAGACCACAGAAGAACTCCAGGGAAGGGGAATGTGGCTTAATAGTAGAATGTTTTTCTAGCTGGCCCTGGGTTCAAGCTTTGGAACTGTTAGTGCCAGTAAAAAAATAGTCATTACTATCAGCTATTTTTAAGAGTAAGCATAACCCCTGGCACACTGCATACTGACCCAGAGACTAGTACAGTAAGTATAGGAGAAGAGAAACATACAGAAACATTGTAATGGAGAAATCAAGTAATTAGCCAAGTAATCAAGGCTAAAGCATCACATTGTGCCAGGACATGATGCAAAGCTGGTGCCTTTTTTTTTTTTTTTTTTTTTTTACGTTCTCCACCACCAGTTTGAGTCATGAAGAACACATTAGGAAACAGGTGAGGTGCACTCTACAAAGTAAAAGAACATCAACCTCGGAGGTCCCCAGATACAAGAAAGTACTCCGAGTTCTCTCAACCAGGAGGTGCAGAGGGGACATGGTTACTAAGGACCCTCAAAGACAGTATCAGAGGAAACTGAGGACACCTGAACTCCATTTCCTGTCTTCCCAAACATCACCCTTACTTATTTTATTCAGCAAATAAAAAAATACTTAAACTTAATCAAATTTAAAGTTCAATAGTTCCTAAGCTGGATCTAAGTTTAATTTTTAAAGTTTAAATTATGATTATTCTTAGGTATTGATCTATATTGAAGCATACTATAATGCAGTAAGAAGGCTGCTGGTTCAAGTCCAAGACCCTCTTCCTCATAAAAAAGGGTGATTTTGATGGAGCCTCTGCAGCACCAGGACTTATTCAAGCGCAAACTGATGCCCTCTATGTACCATTCCAATTACCCTCTATGTGCCAATTCAAATTTTTGATGGTTGCCTTTTTGGTTTTTTATTTATTTATTTATTTATTTATTTATTTATTACATTCCAATCCCAGTTTCCCCTCCCTCCTCTTCTCCCAATCACCCCCCCCAACACACACCTCCCATCTGCTCCTCATAGAGGGCAAGGCCTCTGTTAGGAAGTCTACTAACTCTGTCCCATCATCCCCTTGAAGCAGGACCAAGGCACCACTCCACCTGCCCCCCACCACAGTATCAGCTGACCTGACCTGGTGAGAGATCACTGACTCAGGTCTGACAAATTGGGAACCTGCATAATACTGAACTAGAGAATTAGACTCTCTTAATATAGGTGACATTGGTAACTTTTTTTAAATAAATATTTTTTCCCAAAAGTAATACATTCTCAGATACCCACATGAGGATCTGAGATTTAGGTGACAGTATCCCCAGTTCAGGCCACAGAAGGAAACCTGTGTCGGTACAGCCAAGAAAGGAAGTACAGGTCACTGCTTACCGATGGCTCTGGCTCTCTAGAGATTAGAGAGCTGGTGTCTCTGGTGCCCATACGCTGTCAAAAGAAAAAGATGGATGAGAGAGGGGAAGAAACAGAACTGTTAAGGATAGGCCGAGTGAAAAACTGTAGCATTTAAGTTTCCAAAGCAAGAACAGTGAGGTTTTCTTTGTAGAAATACTTCACCTTGAAACCTGAACTCTTATTTCCCCATCCAAAATGGCATGCAAAGTTGCAAGTATGTGTACATGCATGCACATATGTGTATGCATATGTATATGTGTCTGTGTATGGTTGGAAAGAAAAAGAGAGATGGGAGGGGCAGAGAAAGGAAAAGAAGCATTGTAAAGGAAGCCCTGCTAAGTCATGAGACATTCTACCACAGGTGAAATGCTAAAAACCCCACAGTAAAATAATCAGGAGCTCTGGCAATTTTTTAGAATTCTGAGCAGGAACAACAGGGAATATACATCATTGATTAGATGTTTCATGCTTCTTGGCATTGGCTTGAAATATTAAAAATTTGTAGCTTTGAAGATGACACATTATTCTTTAAAATGTGTCACACAATGCAAGAAAAGTCCCTGTGAATATATGATACACACAAGCCACTTGCAACTAAAGCATTTCTGCTTTCTTGGACATGGATTTCCAATCCACTTGTTATTCAGTGGTCCACACACCACAGAACTGGCTCATGAATTGCCAGGGATGGGAACAGGAACCTCCCTAGCTAACAGAAGTAACCTGAAGTCCATATCCGCATGGGACACTCAGATATCTCCTTTTGGGAGCATCACATCCAACATCTCACTATGACTGGTTGGTTCTGAACAAATCAGTTTTGACAAACAGTAAATATTGTTTAAGGATACTTCAGGAGCTTTTGGGGATATGTTTGTGTGCTGTAGAACTTACACAGTGAAATTGCCAGGAAATAAGAGTGTCTCTTAGTAATGACAAAGACAGTGCTAGCACTGGTATATCCAATTTACTTCTGCTGACCTAAGTTACACTTGTGAATCCCAACTGATCATCAAACTATAACAAAATATCAAATAAAACTAAACCATCAGACAATTCTGAAATGGTAGCCTCTACAAAAAATGATGAAATGATGAAGGGATACAGTGATGTTTCAGAGCTGCTCATTTGGAGGACATGAGTTTGGTTCCTAGCATCTCCTGTAACTCCTACACCTTCTCCTGGCCTCCATGGGCACCTGAAAACAACTGTGTATAACACACACACACACACACACACACACACACACACACACACACACACACACAAACGAACATATTTTAATAGAAACATAAGGACTCTTTTAATAACCATAAAAATAAGTAAATTCAAACTTATGACTGCTCTCCAATACAACAATAACTTGCTCCTCTTTAGTTTAAAATTTAATTTTTAAAGAAATTTTAGAACTTGTGGGACTCTTAAATCAAGCAACTGGCTTACAGCCAAACTATTCAGAAAGGGTAGGTTTTCTTGAGGAACAATACCAATCTAATTTTAAATTTAAATAGTAAACTAGATGTGGAATCTGTCTCACATTAAAAGATAGATGAGCAAGTCAGAGAAGTCGGAAGACCGTGCATTGTAGGAGTGGAGAAGTCAGTTTAAAGCAGCTACACATCTGAGGTGCTAACCTTGACTTAATCTTTGTGTTCAAAATGGAGTGAAGCTCATACACAAACATTGGACTTACCTCACTCATTTGGAAAGCATTGTCTATTTCTTTGGCTCTTAAGCCTAGAACAAATAAGAAAAAGGAAGATCCATTATGCTGACTAGTCTTGTTTAGAAGTCTTCATAAGGAAGACACAGAAATTCAACAAACCAACAGAATTCAAAGAAAAATGACTGAAATAATATGTATAAGATATTACAGGAGCTAAACTGTTCACATCAGCCTCCAAGGGATGTCTTTCTCTAAAAACTAATTGTTATCATTCGGTCACTAGGAAACAAACATGACTCTGATGAACACACCAAACAGAGTCCAAGTGCTGTGAAAGACCATCCAGTGGACTCAAGGACACATACCCATTTGCTCTCTCTCTATGTGAGGGATAATTTGTTTCTGTTATTTTCTGGATTTACCAGAGTTCTATCACTTTTTAAGCTTTTTAAGCACCCAGATACCTTCATAGTGGTCAGGTGTTTAGTCATGTGGACATATATTCTCAGCAGGTTCCTGATGCTGCAGATTGTCACATGCAGAACTGATTCTTAATCTTGGAGGACTCCAACTTGGTGTCTCTCCAGTCAATAATTTCCTATACAACAATGTAGTTTTGGAGAAATATCTCAATAGAAATGATATGAAATTACAGACCAGCCCCAACAAATATTCCTCTGAGAAGAGTTAGCATAAACTCTGAAAATGTAGAAAATATAAAACTACCAGTTATGTGGGGTTTTCATACTTTGAGAAACAATACAGCCCAGAAAAATCTCACAGTCAACAGTGATGTAGGAAGCTCAATACCCCTTCACAGGTTGCAAGTCTATAAAGATGCACAGCAGGTTGAGCATAACAGCATTAATCATTATGAGGGAAAGGGACAAACTACATCCAAATAACTCCATTACAGTATGTGGAGACAGTTATTCTTTGTTGTTAGCTGTAGGTGATCATCTCTTATGTTGACTAATTTAGAAATTAAACTTAAGTGTAAGCATGATATAGAAGATAACAGGGGTTAGTATTAACTTCACTTTCAGGCTCCCACTTGGTCCTCAGGCTGTGTTCCCTACAAATAAAAGGTGGATACTATACACAGAGAGGCAATGCATCATGGCAAACAAGCACAGCATCCATAGCTTCCCCTTCAGCTGACACATCAATGGCAAATCTCTCTCTCTCTCTCTCTCTCTCTCTCTCTCTCTCTCTCTCTCTCTCTCTGTGTGTGTGTGTGTGTGTGAGAGAGAGAGAGAGAGAGAGAGAGAGAGAGAGAGAGAGAGAGAGAAAGAGAGAGCAAATTGTAAGGTGTGTGAGCATTAAATGAGCTGATGTGTGCACTTGGTGTGTAGGAGATCCTTGTTGATGATGTTACTTTTATGAGGATATGTTATATTCCTAATTAATCTTTCTGAAGTTCTATAAATTATTTGGCTCAAGTTTCAGAATAAAGTTCTGATAATTATTGTTATATTCATAACTTTGTTTTGCAGGAGGTGCCCTTAAGCTGTTAACACTTACATATAAGCACATGAATGTTAACCAACAATGACTGCATCACTTAGATTTTCTGAGTGTGGACTTTTCCATGCGAAAGAGGAAAACAAGTAAAACATCATTTGAAAGGTGTATAACATACAAAACCACATGGCAAGGGATTTTCAAGTGTATACTTTCTCAATATATAGCTCAAGTTTTAACAACGTCCCAAACAGTTCTCATTTGATTTGTGAGAAAATGAAGACTGATCATTTTTACATGCCTTTGTGCTATGGTTTGAGTGTGTGTCCCAGAGTTTCACATGCCATAAGTCTGGCTTCCAGCATGACAATGTTGAGAGGGGACGATAACAGCCTAGTCACACATAATTGGGACACTGCAGGAATAACTTTTAGAATAAACTACTTAAATTCTAGAGGAGGCTCAGTAATTCCTTTGGAGAACAACCTGTCAGAGAAAGAGTACACCATGCCCCAAGTCTTTCTGGCATTGTGTCTCACCATAAAATATTCTCTTGCATTTGCTCCATCATAGGTGGCATAGCCAGAAAGTTCTCAAGCTGCATATACGTTAGTCCTTCAGCACCAAACTCATGAGCTAAATACCATTCTGCTTCTCATATACTACCACTGTCAGGCATTTTATTAAAGCAACAAAAATTAGCATGCTTTTATGACAAAGAGTTCAGAATCAAATCTCTCAGAGATAAGTATTTATCTCCCAATTTAGAAGCAAGGGACACCAACACAGGAAGGTTTTCTTTTCTTGAAGACAAAAATTTGTCAAAATTACACCAAAGAACAATGCAACACACAAATAGGATCCTGTCCCAGAGTCACTAAAAACACATCCTTAAACAAGGTATACAGAGCACTTATAGCTCCATTTCTTATGAAGAGAAAGGTGAAAACTAAACAGCAAATCCTCCTTGACCTGCTTCCTTTTCTCTGTTTAACATAAAATTAGGCAGAATAAACACTTTCAAACTGTCCTCTGAACTTGACAGGATGGGGTTGAAGACTCTGACAAAAGATGCTATAAGTCCCCCAATCTCCTATGAGCCCTGCTATCCTCCCCTCACACTTTCCCCTTTAACCCCATGCTTTCCTTCCCTGGAGTAAACTGTCTCCACTGGCTCTGCCCAGCCGAAACTTTACCTTGTGGCAGTTCAGACATTCTCCTCCCTAGCCTTGCCCCAAACCACTTCATGAGTTCGAGTACTTTTTTATGTGTTGAATCCTCTGAGCCGCAGTATTGAGGCGGATAGATTTTTTTCCTCATATACTACACACACACACACACACACACACACACACAGAGAGAGAGAGAGAGATCACCAGCTATCTCATACACAAGTGTTCACACCTCAGTCATATTTACATTACAAACAAGAGGCCTGGGACTAGAATGAGGTCTCAGGGATCCAGAGTACACAGTGTTCTTCCAGAGGACCAAGGTTCCCAACACTCATATCAGGAAGCTCATAAATGCCTGTTATTCCAGATCCAAGAAACCCAAGGTTCTCTTCTGGCCGCCATGGGAACCTGTACACTCATGGCAGATACATGAGGAAATCAAAAATAAGAGGCTGGGGAGCAGGCTACGCAGTTTAGAGCACATGCAGCTCTTGTAGAGGACTAGGCTCCATTCCCAGGACTCACACTGGTATTTACAACCATATGTAACTCCAGTCCCAGGGGGCTACAACACCCTCTTCTGGTTTCCCAGGACATCATATATGCAAGTGCTACACATACACACAGATAAGACTTTCATACATATAAAATAAAATAAACAAATCTAAAAACCATTTATAATAAATAAAACAAGTTTTTTTTTATGTTAAAAAAGAAAAAAAAAGGGCCGGGCGTTGGTGGTGCACGCCTTTAATCCCAGCACTTGGGAGGCAGAGGCCGGAGGATCTCTGTGAGTTCGAGGCCAGCCTGGTCTCCAGAGCAAGTGCCAGGATAGGCTCCAAAGCTACACAGAGAAACCCTGTCTCAAAAAATCAAAAACAAAAACAAAAAAAAGAAAAAAAAGAAAAAAAAAAGAAAGAAAAAAGGGGTGGGGGTCTAAGGAGATCTAACTTGGAGCCAGCTCCAAGTGATCACTTTGAGATTCCACCAGCACTGGAGACTTGCTGTAGACAGGAAGCCAGAGACGTGAAGGTTAGAACCAACCATTGAGGAGAATCACCATTCACACACTAAAAAGAAAAGCCAGTACAGACTGAGTGACCAGTTTCCATGGAATGTACCTTACCAAGAACATGCTCTCTTGCAAAACCAGAGCCCCAAATAGCCCCTGTGTTTGCCAAGAGGTCATCTCACATTACACACTTACCAGCAGCTCAAAATAAAACACAGCCATGTAGGGCCATAAACAGTGTCTTGGTCCATATCAAACCACTGATGGATTAGTGTTCCCAAGTTTGTACTGTGTCCTGGTGTGCAAGAGGAAGCTCTACCACCCAGGCTGTTGAAATCACCTAACAGCAGATCTCTTAGCGTCTATTCCTACTGAGAACAACAACTGTTCGGGAACTTAAGTAACCTCTTGGCTATGGGGCAGGTGTTTTTTTTGTTGTTGTTGTTGTTGTTTTTGTTTGTTTTTTTGTTTTTTTTGATACACTCTTTAAGATAGCTATATTAGTATGACTTTACATGCAGCTTTTAAACTTCCATTTCCAATGCTAAATTTTTAATCTACTTTTTCCAGTGCCAGCTTGTCAACAGCAGTCACAGAAACATAGGCAACAGTGTGGTAATTTGAATAAGAATGGCTGCTGTAGGGTTATGTACTTGAATTCATCCATGTGGACCTGTTGGGGGAAGGACTGAGAGGTGTGTCTATTGGAGGAAGTGTGCCACTGGAGGTGAACTCTGAGGTATCAAAAGATCATACCAGTTCCCTCTCTCTCTCTCTCTTATGCCCCTGGTTCAGTATGTAAGGCCTCAGCTTCTGCTCCAATGTCATGTTCTCTGCTATGATGGTCATGGACTCTAATAACCCTCTGTAAGCCCTAATAAATGTCTTTTTTATAAATTGCCTTGGTCATGGTGTCCCTTCACAGCATAGAAAAGCAACTATGACAAATGGGCACCCGACCAACACACCAAAGCTTTCTGATTTCATGCTAGAGAAACAGGAGTTGTTCAAGGAACTCTGTGGCTGAGTTTCTGCTCCCTTGAGTGTCATGCTGCCAGGTCCACAGACATGGACAAGATGTAGATATCAGACTTCCCATCAAAATAATCTTCCCCTGCCTGCATCCAAATCAGAGAGATAGCTGTGATTACACGAGGAAGCATACACCACAATAACATTTGCCACGAAAAGAGATGAGGTTCAGGAATGTTCTGAAACTTCTTAGGGAGACAGAAGCTACATGAGTCCTCATGCCAGAGGCTTGCTAACCCACACCCTCTAGTAAATGGTTCACCTTGAGATTAAACCACGTCAAGCCACACACACCTGAAGTGGTTCATCTCCATGGGACTGCAATGAAATGTTTTCCTTCATTTCCCAGAAAACATCACATCATGTATATTCTTGTTTCATATTTTTCCTTCAAAGAAGAAATGGGAATTACTCCTGGGATTAAAAACTTTGTAGACACTTAGCAAACAGTGGTCGTGTCTTAAAATAGTCAATACAGAGTGACTACATGTTCCATAGACCTCCTGTGATAGACACAAGAAAAACAAAAAACAGTGTTTAAATAATAACTTACAAATGAATGTTCATTGCTGTATCATTCATTGTAGCATAAAGGGGGAAATTAGCCTAATGTCCAGGGTTTGTCTAACAAATGGGTGTGGTGTTCCTCCACAATGGAATACCACTTGTCAAATAAAAGGAATGGTGCACTATGGGACTGAACTTCAAAAAACATATCAAGAGATAGAAGCTAGTTTCAACAGAGCACAACTTCATTGTTCCACTTACTTGAAATATCTGAGATAAGGGAATCTACAGAGACAAGAGGCTCAGATGCCTGTGGCTAAGGATGAGAAATGGCTACACAGAGGGCTATCAGCTGAAATGATGAAAATGATACAAAATGACTCTATGGAAATGGTCACAAAACTCTGTAAATGCACAGAAACCATTAACTGTAATACTTCACTGGTAAGTTTTATGGAAAGAAGATTATGTCTCAATAAAAAAAAAAAAACAACTGTTTTTAAAAGGGAAGAGAGAAATGTGATGTTGGCCCAAGCCTTGAATACCAGCACTTGGGAGGCAAAGGCAGGTATCTGTGTGTTTGGGGCTAGTCTGGTTTACATAGTGAGACTGTTTCAAAAAGAAAAACAAAGGGTGTAGTGGGAGATAATAACAATATTTTCTTGTCCCTTTAAGACCAGATAGCCAGACTACACTTGTATCTTCTAATGATTTTTTTTTTTAAATGGAGCCAGGGGTGGTGGCTCCTGCCTATAATTTCAGCAAACAGTCTAAGACAGGATTTCTGCCATGAGTTTGAAGTCTGCCTGGGCTACACAGTGGGAGATCTTAACCTCTCCTCTTCCAACACCCAAACACCTTTATATTTAAATAATGTGAAAAGACAACAAACAAACAAAAACCCAGAATTACTAAGAGAATTGAGGCTTGGTGATTTCAGCAGGAAAACTGTATGTTTAGAAATAATGTATTAACTAAATTATAAATTGACAGAATATAGGTCAATGGGAACCTTAGTAGAAACTGACTAGTGTTCTCAACAGAAGTAAGGCATCACACACACACACACACACACACAGTAGTGTTCCCAAGAGCTGATAGACCTTAAGTCTGTCCATCCCATAATCATAGTCTCAAAAGGTATCTGAAGGTCTGCAAAGAGCTGACAGGAAGGGATTGGCCCTAAGGTCTGCCTGTCACCATCTATGCAGGCTATCCTCGGAAAAGCCATCTTCCACGAGTGGGTTTCCCTGGCCAATGCGCCACACCACGCCAGTCACTCGGGGTCAATGGGGTCCAAGAAAGGTGCCCGGATATCCTAGGGAGTCACAGGTTGCAGGTCCCGGGTGCGCAGGTGCATCCGGGGACATCGCGGGGCGTAGAATGTTACCCACCTTCTGGCAAGCGCAGCGCGGACTAGCCGCGCTGCGAACGTTCCCGGGACAGAGACCCACACCTGCCAACGTCCCCCAGAAACCGCGAGAAAGTTCACGCGCCTGTTTAGCGCTGGCCTACGGTCCTACCTTCCTCCTCCACCATCTCCAGCAGGTCCGGGTCGCCCATCTTTGCCAGCTCGTTGAAGGCACTGATGAGCGAGACGCAGGGGGTGTCAGACCGCTGTGACAGGCGGCGAGATGCCTTGGGGCGGAGGCTGAAGCGGATGGTAGGCCGCCGGTATTGCATGTCTGGCACCTGTACACAGCTGGAGCTTTCACCCCTTAAGGTGCTAGAAAAGGGTGAGTCCAGACCCACGGACACCCGGGGAGACATCCGGGAAGCTAGAGATGACTTGGGAGCAGCCTGGGATGAGCCAGTAGCCAGGGACGTGTGAGGTGCCAAGGACGAGCGGCGGGAAGCCAAAGATTCAGCAAGGATCCTCAGGCTAGGCTTCCTTTCCAGGCGGTACTTGCCCTGACTACTGCGGCGGTCCAGCAGACTGTCAGTTAAGCCTTTGTGCTTCACTGTCCGTGAACGATAGCGCTGCACTGTCCCCTCCATATAGGACTCTAAGTACTTGCCCTCATCCTGGATACCCTGGCCTGAATAACTTTCTTGACTCTGCGGCTGCACCAGTTCACGCTGGCGAATCCTCTGCTTCCCTTTCGACTTTCCTGGCACTTTGATCTTAGAGACCCCAATTTCGCTGGTATCTCGGGACAGCCAAGACTCATCCCCAGTTTCTGGCTCCTGGACGCTCAGCAGATCCATTCTTTTTCCTCCCTCCTCCAGGATTTCCACCTGATAATCCTCAGAGATCCTCACTATGCTCTCATCCCTGGAGACTCCAGGTCTTTCCACCCTTCTTGCCCTCTCGGGGACCCTCGACATGTCTACAGCCAGGGAGACTTCAGGCCCCTCTACCTGTCTTGCCTCCTCAGAGGCCCTCGCCACATCTACATCTTCAGAGACTCCTGGCCCCTCCACCCTACCAGCTTCCCTGGGGATCCCATCCCGGGTGGGCTCCTGGGAGTCTCTTGGCTCCCTTCCCTCTTGATCCTCCGGCTCCATACTCAACAGGCTTAGAGCTTCCTGTTTCCACTGGTCCACCTACTCAGGTCAGGTACCCACAGATCACCATCTCCAACCCTTCTACCATCCCCTCTGGTGGGCAGCCTCAGCCTACTAGTAGGCCTGGTTTCCCTGGATTGCTTGGGGCTACACTCAATGTGAGGCCCGCTGGGCCAAAACCTTCTTCCCAGTTGGAGGTTATTTTCTGTCGGGTGAGAAAAAGAATCACTTCCCTTAAAGCATCTCACTCCCTTTAAGGCATGAGCGTGAGACGGTCTTCCCCCAGGTTCCAGAAGACTCTTGGCTAGGAAGAATGTTAACCTTGAAAATGAAGCAGAGGAATCCCCAGGAAACAAATTGCTCTGAATTGGTCCTGGCAGCCCCACAGTAATCAGAAGGTAAGGATTACTGCAGGGGTAACCAGTGAGTGGTGGGCTGAAGGTGAGCTGGTCAGGCACCTGAGCTGAGGACCTTGGCAATGCAGGGGCACTTCATGTCACCGTCTAGGGCTAAACTGGGGTGATCTGAGAATTAAGGATCAATCGACCAAAGAAAACTGTGTGGCTTGGTTGCATGGCTGCTATGTGTTTCTCTGTTCTAGCGATGTTCTGAACTGGACAATCACCTTCTAGAGATTCCAAGATTGCTAGTATAGTGGGAAATTACCAATACGGAGTCAGGTAGAAATATAAGGGTATTTAATAGGGAAAAGCCTTACTTACAGAGCGACCTAGCCAGCTGGCGTGGCAGAGGTCTGTAGGCAAGCCCAAAAGAGAGACCAAAAGAGAAAACAGTAGTCCCCTTCCAGTCTCGCTCTATGTCAGCCTGACCACGCCCTCGTAAGCGTGGTCAGGCACACCTGTAGCCAGCCCCTAAGTAGGCGTGGCTACAGCTTCCCCTACAGGCTAGGATTTTGCTGCAGAACTGAGCTCTGTATACAGTCCAGATTTTCTCCCGCTGAGGTTCTGGAAACACGTCAGACGTGGCCAAGCGATTCAAGGCTTCGCAAAATTCTCTCCTTGATGTATTTTTCAATTGTATTTGAAGAGTGGCTATGCATAAGGTGAGCAACAGACGTGTTTGCCTGTGAATGAAAAAAAAAAAAAAGAAATAAAAAGGAAATGGAAGGGTATGATTGCTCCTTGGTATGGTGGAGAAAGTTTATTGTGGGTAAAAGGGTAGGTAGAGGCAGAGATATCTGGGAGAGTCCAGAGAGGACTGACCATACCGAGCTGGGCCATTCAGAGAGAGGAGAAAGGGAAGACAAAGGGAAGAGGGGAACCAGCTGCAGCAGCCAGGAGATCAAACGTCCAAAATGGGCAGGTAACAAAAAATGTCTGGATTATATAGGGAAGAGCTCTGGAGGAAGGGCAGCCCAGCCCCTGGGCTGGAGAGTTCAGGGTAGAGGATGGGGTATGAGAACCAGATCCTGAAACAGGTAGAGACTGAGGGATGCTGGGAGAAACTGGTGGCCATGTATGCTTTGATATGTTCAATAGGCACCTCAGCCTATAATCATAATTATGACAGAACTGTTTGGTTCTTTCTCATTGACCTCCCCTTACACACTTCAGTTAAATCTTTCTGGGAACATTGTCATGGAAACACCCAAAGATGTGTCTCTTGGGTGATTCTAAATCCAGACACCATGTCAATCAAGATTAACCTTTTTACTATGTAGTTGCTGTTTTTCCTTGTTTCATTTCTTTTACTAAGACAAAATACCCTAACACAAAGCAACTTAGAGGAGAAAGGCTTTCATTGAACCTACAGGATTTAGTCCATCATAGAAGAAGGAAGACACAGAGGAAGACACAGCAGGAACTTGAACCAGCTTGAAACAAATGAAACAAAGTAAAAGACAACTTCTAAGAAACCTCCACTGGCTTGGCTCTTGAGCAATGGTTCAAGGTTACTTGTAGAGTGGGCATTCTAGCAGAGCAGGCCCTAAGGGCCTGCCCATCCCATGGTGCAGTTGAAACTGGCTCCATGGCTTCTAGAGGTAGTGTTCCTACTGATGAGTAGTAGGCTACGGGGCTGGAAAGGGAGAACATGATAGCAGAAGAGAAGGGACTAGATTCATATGATACCCTACCTCCAAAGGCAGCTTCTGGCACCAAGCAAAATCCTACTTTAGTCCCATCCATCACCAACAAGCAAGGAGTGGGCTGCATCTGTGAGGAGGACAACTGTAGAGTCATCTGGATTTGGCTGCACAAAGGTGAGACTCGGCTAGTGCCCTACCAACTGGCCCCCTGAGCCTCTGCACTAACTTTTCAGAAACTGATGGAAAACCATTGCATTGGTTCCAACTCCCCACCCCAAGAAAAGAATGTTCCACCTGTTTCAGGAAAAAGATCCCAGACCATCTCATAGACAAGGGACTAAATATGAAGTAACCAAGAACAACTTCTGTCACACCTTGGTAACTGTGATAGGAGTTACAGACTGACCCAGGAGTGTGGGAACAAAGGGAGCTTGGAACAAAGAGCAGCACTTGAGACATCTGTGAGGTCCAGAACAGTCAGTGATTATGCCCAGCAGACAGCACGCTCTTCTATCAGCTTTCTCTCTGCTCCTGTATGATTCTTCCTAACTCTCACGTGCCTGAGCAGTCTTCTTGCAGCACGTCACATTCCAGGCTCCTAACTGGAATCCTTAAAAAGGCATTTAGGAATCTGGGCCTGAAAAGAGGACAAATAACTGTGCAGATTACAATACAATATTTTAAAAGGAACAATATGCAGGAGAGCCTGACAGCACAGGCTGTCATCTTCACGTCATTCTTTAAAGTGGAAACAAGCCAGTTCTGATGTTGTCAAGTAATTTAAAATTATATTTAGACTATTTTTTTTGTCATTTCTCTTAAAATGCCTGACTCACCACTTACCGGACATGATTTAATGTAGTTTGAAGCCGCAATGGGCAATTTGGGAACCACCCCCGATTCATCCTGCTTCCACCTTCCTGCTCCTGTCCCCATCCCTATCTAATTGGGGTTTAATTACTTGATGGCTCAGTGGAGCCAATTATAATCACTAGCCCATTTCATGTTTTAGCTGTACACCTTTGTGCTTCTTAACCTTTCTCAGTGGTGCTCTGTTATCCAGAAAATGAAGAAAACAATTCTTCCTGCACAAGGTTGTTCAGTATTTTCATTTATCTGAGCCAGGTGGCTTGCTGCTCATGGAGAGTGTTAGCAGTCAGGCATCTGTACTGGCCTGTCCTTGGGGTTCTGACAGAATACACTCTCAGCTGAAGCCACTAAGAACACCACCTGTGCACATTCACTATGTTCCCTTTTAAAAGGGCCTGCCAGCCGCCCATTTTTCTCTCTTCCTCTCTATGCTTATTTGCCTGTCTCTGTCTCTCCTTCTCTCTCCCTCTCTTCCCCCCTTTGCCTCTCTTCTGCCACTCCTGTTCCTAGAGGCTTGTCTCTCCTCTCCCCTCCCCCCTTTTCCCATTCACTTCCCCCAATTAAAACAAAACTAAAACTAAAAACCCTCCACCCAAGCTCTGTCACATGGCATTTTTCTCACTGCTTGCTTTTCAAAATTATAATAGAGAGGATCTGAGTTCAGTTCCCAGCATTCATGTCAGGTGGCTCACAACCATCTGTAACTTCAGTTCCAAGAGGTCTAAAGCCCTATCCTGGTCTTTTAAGGCACCTGCATACATGTGTACATACACATACATGTATACATATAAAATTTTGAAAATAAATAAAACATAAGATGTCTTCACTCTGTTGTACTTATTATTATTGAGGAAGTGCTGTAACTTTTTGCCACTAATATCTTTAATTTCTGCAAGGAGATTGATTTTAGCAGTATGTCATATTTCCACAACTCATGATACAAACGCAAAAGTTTCCAAACTTAAAAAATTAAGTACACAACACATAAAAATGTCAATATAAACATTGCTTAGAATATTGAAACTGATTCTTAATGCCCAGTGGACTCTCATGTATATTAGAGTGTTCATTAACTCAGCATTTAAGTGGCTGTTAGTGCTGTGGCAATGCAGTTAAAGCCACTGAGAAACAGTAGACACCTATCAAAGGATGACCTTGGATTCAAATAAACTGTCAACCAATTCAGGTTTCCCCAAAACATACTTACTATCAAAATCTCAAAAGCTTCAAGGGAAGCTCGAGTTTCAAAAAAAACAAATTTGAATAAATTGGAAGAGCTTCAAGTTAGTGAAAACACATACATTATGTATAAGGAAATTGGACAGAATAGTTATAAAATATGTCTAAATAAAGACTTTCCATTTTCAAGGTTTATCATTTATATGCAATTTCAATAAATGATATCAAGTGAATGAAATTAAAGAGTTTCAGTGACCCAGCAGTTAAGTCTGGGATTTATCTACCCCTAAGTAAAACTTGATGTGCGTGTTCCATGAAGTGGTAGCACGGTACTTACCAGGGGCATTTGAAGTGTCAGGAATGTATTTGATTTCTCCAGATGTTGGGCAAGCTTAAGCCTGTGTGGTTTGTAATTTCATGCTTTAAGGACACAGTTACTAATCAAATTCTTTATTTAGTCCCTTCTAACAAATTCCTCTTTGTAAGAATGGTCTCTCACAGAGAATAGGAGTCCGCCCTACTGGATTATATATCCATTTGATGTGGAGATCAGGGCTCTAATCCAGCCCTGTCATAAAAAAGTCACCTCCAAAGGCAATGAAGAGGGAGTTTTTACAACCAGTGAACTGCGCCTCTACTGTTAAGTCATCACTATGTACTTCACTGACGACAGACACCTCTGACAGATCAGTCTCAGGCCTGGATCTGCACAGCCAAGACCTACATGGGTAGGACATTTAGCTACCAAGATCAAACACTGATGATTCCTGTCTGAGTATACCCCTCTGCAGTTATTCAGCCAGGTATTTGCTACTTCCAGCCATGCTAGTGGCTAAACCCACCTGCTTTTCTGAATCACGAAGAAAAGCTTAAGTTTTTATTTTAACTATTTTCCTTCTCTTGA